CTGTCCCAACCCTGCCCTCTTGGTGCAGTCATGGTTTGTCTAGATTGTCTTAGTTCAGATCCAGGAAGTGACATATCTTTGTGGTCAGTTGACCTTGTTTTTGTTGTTTCATAATTTTTGCCTCTATGTTTGTGCGTGAACATTCAATTAAATTTACATATAAATGTATTTATTAATACCATTAAATATTATAGAATTACAGTTTTCTTTATTCGTGCTGTTCTGGTGTTGTCTTAATATCAGCATCATGATACCTCATAGAATATGTTGGGAAACACTCCGTCTTCTCTGCCGATCTGGAGCAGTTTGATTACCTGCTCCTTAAAGCTTTATAGAATTTTCGTATAAACCATCTGGGCCTGCTATCCTTTTCTGGGGTGGGGGTAGATTTAATAATTTATATTTCTCTAGAAAAGCATCCATTTCACCTAGATGTTCAAATATATCGTCGTGAAGTTGTACATAGTATTGTCTTACACAGAGACATACAAACACACACACATAAATGTTGCGGTGAGCATTTGACCAAGAGACTGCAGCTGCTGTTGGAAAGTAAATGGGGAGAAGGGTCCTCCCCTCCAAGACTCATTGCACCATGACCCCCGCACCAAGCTGCATGATGAGAGATTTCTGACCCCCTGGCCAAACGGAGCCCTGGGATGGTGAGGAGAGGAATTCCTTCCCAGGCCATCCCTCTCTGTGCCCAGACAAGGAGTTCCCAAAGGTAGAACCCAGGTCTCCTCTTCCTCTGTCCTCTAGAGAAGGAGCTCTCCCACCTCCTTCAACCCCAAGGAGTCATTCTCCATGCCTCAGCTTCCCTTCTGTGGTAGCCATAAAAGTGCATATCTCTTCAAGAAAGACCATGCCATTCAGCTATCAGAAGTACGGTGAGCTACCAGCCTCTTGCTGCAGTGTCTTTGGGGTGCACCACAGCATCTAAGCCAAGGCAGGCTCTGACTGAGCACAGTGGGGCTACTAAGGCTTCTGTGTGCTCTGGAGCTCACTGTTGAGTTGGCAGAGACTTTGTCAGATCCTCATCACAGTCTGAGGCTCTTGCTGCCAATCCAGCTTCCTCCCCCTTTATCTTTCACAAGGTCCCTCCATCCTCCACACTCCTGCACTCCTACCTCTATCTTAACTCACTGGATGACCTGAACACCCTGGAGCTGTCAGCTGCCTTTGATGGATAAAAACTTAAAGGTTTAGGTCCCTTCAACTTAAATGCCCAGAGAGGGCAAAGCTTGCCTGCAGCCACACAGCCATGTGGGCAGCTCTGGCAGGGAATCCTGGAGCAGTAACACTCAGGTCAGATCATTTCCTCACCTCCTGACCCTCACCACACAGGCTGAGGCCACGCTGTGGTCCCCAACCGTCCCTCCCACACCACCACAGAAACTTGCACCATTGAGTTCCCGAGCGGGGAGCCTTGAAGGCGGTAAATGCACGACTCTGGGAGGTGGGTGAAGGGCTGGGGGAAGCGAGGGTGGCTCCCACCCCAGGGATGAGGCAGGCAGCCAGGAAGCCAGGCAGGCTCCCAATGAATAACTGCTGATTTCCTCCTCACTATGCCTGTCATCACGGGGGGATAGCAAGTGACTCTGCCTCTCTCTCTTCCCCTCCACCTCCTACACCCTCTGCATCCCTGTGCTTCCCGGCATCTGGAAAGTGGAGGGTGGGCCAGAGGCTGGTTCCAGGGATCTAGGAGGGAAGAAGATTCCAGAATACAACATCCCGGGGGGAATCCATGCAAGAGGGACATGGGGAAAAAAAGACCTTTCCCAAGCCTGGACTGGTGAGGCAAAGATAGACTCCAGAGGGTCTCAGGCTTTGGATGCGGCGGCGGGGGGGGGGGACGCATATAACAGAGCTTCTAAGTCCCTGCTTCTACCCCACTGGTAGCGTGCCCACCTTCCATCTCCTGCTCTGACAGCATTCCCTCCCAGAAACCTTCCTAGGATCCCTTCCTTATCAGATCTCACAGGACTCAAGAGTGGGCCTGTGGTTGACCCCTGGTGCCCCAGGACAGAGGACAGGGCATGTGGGAAGGATTAGTGGAGACGTGGTCAGATTTAGCCTTGGCTGAATTTTTGTAGGCTTTTTGTTTGCTGGTTTGTTTTGTTTTTCCTGCTCCACCTTTTGCTTCTGATTGTTTTTGTGTGTGTGTGTGCCCTTTGATAGATAAGAAAGTGTGGCTTTCCCAAGGGAACAATTCTGAAAGAACAAAGAGTGATTTTCATCGCAGAAAATCTACAGGGAAGCTATTCCCCCAGAGTCACTGGCTCCCTTCCTGGGAGCCCAAGGACGGGGAGGCTCTGTTGGTGTTCTCACCAACTCCAAACTGGCCTTCTAGCCCTCAAGCTGAAGAGGGGATTGGGTGTGGACCACCCTCCAGAGCAAGGGGGAGGGCAGCCAATGCCCAGGTGGTCGCTCTAAGATTCCCTCCCTCATGAGTCCTCTCCGCCCCTCCACCAACCTCCCGGGATGTGGCCTGATGGTCATATGGCAAAATGGAGTCTGACTTCATCTTTCTCCAATCCTCACCTCTGTCAATACACTCTCAAGTACCCAAGACCCCTGTCCTCAGAGAGAGCAGGAACTTCAACAGGCCAGCATTAACGGTGGGATTTCAGCATTCTGCAGCTGGCTAGGTGGGGTGTGTGTGTGTGTGTGTGTGTGTGTGTGTGTGTGTGTGTGTGTGTGTGTGTTGAGGGGTGCGGTGGACAAGGGTTTATGATAGCCAAAGCCTATGGATTTGCCGTTTATATGCAGGGGCTCCTAGGACCCCAGGCCAGAAGAGGTGACTTTCAGAATAAGGACATGATGCCACTGCCCTGCTTCAGGACCTGAGGTCTGAGAGGAGGTACTGTCAGGGTCACAAGGAGAGGCAAGGACATCTGGCTCCTGAACTTAACTATGGCCTCAGGAGTGAGAGGGACTGAGGAGATAGCAACCATTCAAACACTCACTCCACTGGAGGACTGGGAAGAAGCCCCAGAAAGGCCCAGGCAGAGGCGCCTCCAGAGTTCCAGCATCTGGGGAGGGCCCTGTGTCCAGGCTCACTGATTATACCTGGAGGGGTTGGAAGTTGTGGGGAGCAGACATACACCCTTACGTCCCCCTCTGGCAAGGAGCGCAGCCCGTCTTATCCACCTCTATGCCCCCAGTGCGGAGTACAGGGCCCGGCACGCCACAAAAAAACAAAAAAGAAAACCACACCCGTTCCCCTCATGGCAAACTCATATGTTACGGAGTAGAACTGAGCTCCATAGGGTTTTCTTGGCTATAATCTTTACAGAAGCAAATCGCCAGGCCTTTCTTTTGTGGTGCCACAGGGTAGGTTCTCACTGACACCTTTAGATTAGTAGTCTGGTGCAAACTGTTGCAGAAGGAAGGAGGGAGAGAGGGAGGGAGGGAAGGAGAGAGAAAGGAAGAGACAGAGGGAGGGATGGAGGAAGAGAGGAAGGGAGAAAGAGAGGGAGAGAAAAGGGGGAGAATAGAAAGCAAATGCAGGCACTCCAAATAAGTCAGAATCAAGGAGTGGCACCCAGCAGGGCGTTCATACCTTCCCCGCTTGCTTTTCCCCAACTCTTCCCAACCCCACCCTATCCCAGAAGGTCAGCGGCCCAAGTTTGCTGCGCTGTAGCCCGCGAAGCCCCGTGGTTCTGCTGGAATCTGGCGCACATAGACCTGTCAGCCAACGCTGAGACTGGATCTCCTGCAAGGGGCCGCACATCCCGCTACCCACCTGGGGACGCGAAGCCCTCTCCGTCTCTCATGGCACCGAACACCCCCCTTCACACACACACACACACACACACACACACTCCAATTACATCCACCTACCCACTCACTCGATCCCCGCAACCACCACCGCCACCTCCAGTCTGGATTGCACCGTCTCGGGCCCTCAAAAAGAGGGTGAGGCAACCACCTGCGCACAGTCCTCAAAAGACGCTCTTTCGGGTGCGGTGCCCATGAACCTGCGCCCCATTCTAGTGATAAATAAATCAAGCACTGGGGACGGAGGGTGGAGGGAGGCTGGCCCGACGTTCCCTAGCGGCAGACCTGCCGAACCTCGGAAGCGCGGCACTAGATGCAGAAGGCCTGGATATGACCCTTCTCCGGACCTCAGTTTCCCCGGCTGTAAAAACTGGGAAGACGGGATGAGGGGCGGTCTCGGGTTCGTTTTAGGTCCTGCGCGCAGAAACTCAGGCCCGCGTTCTGGGGCCAGACCTTCCCTTTCCGCGCGGGGGCGCTGGAACCTTGGTCCAGCACTCGGTCGGGAGATGCGGGGACGCGCCAAACTCCCGGGAGCAAGGCCCCGGGGGCGTAAAGGGCAGGGGCGCCCAAACCCTGCGGAGCGCTCCGCGCCAGGACGCCCCGGTGCAGGCCGGAGTCAGGTCTCTGTCGCGTCCTCGCTTGCTCCAGCCTAGCCTCTTCGGCTCGACAAAAGAGTTGGGAGCGTTGGGTATCCTCCAGCGCGCCTCACCTACCCCCCGTAGCTTTCAGCCCAGGGCCTTGCGTGGGCCGCAACCCGAAGCCTGGGGAGATAAGTGACACTTCCTGTCACTTTGTCTGGTCTGTGCACTAGAGCCCTCTGAGGCGCGGAAGTGGGAAATAGGGAGGCAGGCGGGGAGCCCTCCTGGAGGTGGCAGCTCCGAAGCTAGACGTGAAGGGCGCCCTTGGGTGGGGCTGAGGGGGCGGGGGAGGATGAGAGACTGCTTCCAGGCTCTTGGGAAAGTTGTGAACCAAGCGGGAAAGGATGGGGCCTGATGGTAGCGCGAAATTCCCCGCAGAGGGGGCAAAGGGCTGTGAATGCCTCCAGGTGAAGGGCAGACCGGGTGGGACTGGCTGAGAGAGCGCGGGGACTCCGCGGGGGCGCCCCTAGCCCCACCCCGTACCTGCGCCGCGGCCCCGCCTCCACTGGGCCATTGGCTAGACCCGCCGCCCATCAGACGAGCCCCCGGGGCCCGCCCCCAGCCCCAAGCAGTGCGTCTTAGCTCTGGGGCCACCGCAGCAGCGCCACTCAGCTAGGCGCCCAGCCTTTGCCCGCGTGGTGCACCGCCCGCCCGCCCAATACCCGTGCGGGGCCGCCCGCTGCAGACTCGGGGCGGACCATGCGCCCGCCGCCCACCACCTGGCTATATGCACTGGCCGGCATCCTAGCCTGCGCCCTCGGCCCCGCGGTGAGTGCCCTCCGGGCCGCCAAGAGTCTGGACAGCTGGGGGTGGAGTGGGGGCGCCGGGGCCCGGCAGTCAGCGCACGCGTCTATGTAAGGGGAATAAGGGGCACAGAGCACCCCGTCTCGATCCCAGCCCCCGCGCCCAACCCTGGACCGGATCCAGCCCCCAAAGGTGGGGTCTCTTCCTGAGCAGCGGAGAGTAGGCTCAACCCAACGACTTCGGGACACCAAAGGGGGATAGGACCGGCCCTGGACTTACCTTCAGTGTAGCGGCCGGCCCTATCCCCCCACGGGGGTGTGAGTGAGGTGGGGAAGACCATGGGTGCAGGTCGGGGACTGTGGTGGATTGAGAGGAAGTGTCTGGTAGATCGTGGGTGGGAGGGAGGCTGTGAGAGTCCTCCTTGTGTGCTGTGCCCATCTGGAGGGGACTGTGGGGCGTTGTGTGTACGTGTGGGGGTGACGTCTGCACAGCACACTCAGCACTGGGGCCTTCAGGACCTAGGAAGGGGTCATTGGGAGCAGATGGGTGACAGGCTGACCCCTCCCTATGTCCTCCCACTGAGCAGAAAAGAAGGGCTTTGGAGCTCAAGGGAGAAGGTGGTGGGCAGTGAGGTGTTGGGGGGGTGGTAGCAGCAGGGGCCGGCATGTGCATGGGGGGAACTGAGCAGGGAGCCAGGAGCCAACAGTGGCCTCTCTCTTCCACCTCTGCTCCCTCCCACCTGGGTATGTGTATGCCCCTCACACATGTGTGTCAAGTGCCCCATGAGTGGGCATGCCAGTGTGTGTGTGTGTGTGTCTGTGTTTGTGGATGGCTCACCTGGGCTGCAGGGCAGACCCTGATCAAGGCAGGGAATGCATGGATCATATCCCTCCAAATATAGGGAAGACCTCAGGGCTCACTGAGTCCATCTATGCTCACTTTACAGATGGGCAAAACGAGGACCACACACTCAGAGCTCACTCTTCTCCCAGTCGGGCCTGAACTGACGGTGGTTCCCTCTCCACTCGCACCCTAGTCCTTGAAGAATCTGGGGGTATTGCCTGGGCACAGCCTAAAACCCTACGGGAGTTCCAGCATCTGGAACCAGCTCCAGATTGACTGGTGGGAGGGTGGGGGAGCTTGATCATCTATTCTGTCCCATGATCATCTCCCAATCGTCCCTAACATCAGGGCAGGAATCACTGTGTTTCCTCCATCTAGCTAATGTCTTGCACACCCTGGGGGCAGGGGACAGGGAGTTCATTGTCCTGTGAACGGGACTTCTGACAATTGACAGAAGCCCTGATAGCCCTGAGACCTACCTCCTGAGCACTCAAAGCCTGATCAAGCTCTGGGCCTGGGGCCACAGCTCTGCCACCAATCACAGCCCCTCAGTGTCACAGACCCCCTGGTTCCCACTGACAACCCTCATCCTCTCCCAACCCTGGGCCCTGTCCACTCAGACTCTCCTCAGGTAAGCCAGGGACCTTGGGACCACTGCCGGCACCCCATCCCCCACCCCTGGAGCCTTTTCAGCCCAGTGGGGCCTCACTTCACACCGAGCCACATCTGCCGCCACCTCCTGAGACAGCCCAGGTCTGGGCTCCCCCAGTGCCTACCTTCCCTTATCTTTCCACATCTTACTCATTCAGTGTCCAGCTCCATCTCCTCCTCCAGACTGCCGTCCCTGATTGCTCCAACCCACTCTGCCCTCTCCCCGCTACCCCCCGCTGACCCCATCCTCCAGCCCTACTGGCTTTCCAGCCAGGCTGTTCTGTTCATTCTATGGGTCGAGGGCTGGAGCCTATGTCGCCCATAGCCCAGTGCAGAGCTGAGCCCACAGGGGGAGAAGGGACTCAGCCAGGACTGGGTGATGGCAGGATGGAGAGCACAGGCCCCAGTTTCCCTCTCTGTTCCTCCTTCCTTCCCCACTGGCCACCAGTTACTCCCTCTCAGGATGGACACCAGGTAATCCTGCTCCAGCTGGACTCAGTGAGTGGGGGTGAGGGCAGACATTATCAGAGTCATAAAATGTCAGCTGCAAAGTTCAGGTTGAAGGCCCAAGGCCTTATCATTCCTGTTTATGGTGCCTGACCTCAGCCTGGGAAAGGGAAATCTCTGAACAGGGAAGCAAAAGAGGGAAAGAAAACCTTCAGTGTCTCAGAGGAGGAAGTCTGCCCCAAGGCCACCCCCTGGGCCTTCCACTGCCAGTGCCCCCACCCCACCCCCACCCCCGCCAGACTTCTCACCTCTTGCAGAGCTGCCCAGAGCAGTGCCCAGGTTCCGCCTGGGAAGACCCCCAGGCTGGTGGGGAAGACCAGACCCAGTGACGCAGGGAGCTGGGATGGAAGGATAGAAACCTCCAAGACGGCCTCCTGGAAGCCCTGGGTGGGCCTAACCAAGGGCGATACCGCACTCTGAGGAGAAGAGGCCTGGCTCAGCTGCAGCATGTTCCCTAAAGCCCACAAGGCAGCCTGCTGGGGGCCAAGAGGGCTTGGGTAGCTGTGGACAGCTACTGGAGAGGTTGGAAGCAGGTGGCGGGGCACAGTGAGGAGGTAAGGCAAGGTCTTCGGGGGCAGGTGCTCAGCAACCTGCCTTAGAGAGGAGTTGGGGGGAGCCAAGCATCCCCCGTCCCCTGGACCATTCCAGCCTTTAGGGGCAACTGGAGGCGTCCTAGCCCTGGTGGTGCAGTGGTTAAGTATTCGGCTGCTAACTGAAAGGTCGGTGGTTTGAACCCACCGGCCGCTTCACAGGAGAAAGCTGTGGCAGTCTGCTTCTGTAAAGATTTACAGCCTTAGAAACCCTACGGGGCAGTTCTGCTCTGTCCTAGACGATCACTATGAGTTAGAATTGACTCGACCACAAAGGATTTGGTTTGGTTTGGAAGCATCCTAGTCCTTCTGGAGTCAGGCCATTGGTCCTGCCAGCAGAGGCTGTTTTGTGGTCTAGGGTGAAAAGTTAACCCTTTTCAGCCAAACTCTTCAAGGCACTATCCTGCTTCTTCCCGGGAGCCTTCCCTGACTGCTCCTCTCAGCACTCCCTGCCCCAGTCCTAGGAGGCTGCACCCTCCTGGGCTATTCCTCTTGGCTGAACACACCTTAGAAGTATTTCAGAGGAAGAAAAGGACACAGTTTATTCTCTCCAACATACGTATGGTGATTTTTTTTCTTTTATTATAAAAATGTTCGATCATATAAAAAAGTAGAGAATAATATAATGAACATGGAAATACCCAATTCCTAGGTTTGACCATTGCTGACACTTAACAACATTTACATCATCTGCTTTCTTGACTGAAGTGCTTTAAATAATTATGGGACGTTATAACATTTTACCCCAAATTGTTTCAAGATGCCTCTCAGAAACCAAAGGACATTTTCCTACATAACCATGATACCATCATCACACCTAATAAAATTAACAATGATTCCTTAATATCTAATATTTGAATATCCCCAACCAACATTTAATCAAACACCACAAGGTACCCATGCAGTACCCCCAGATTCTTCAAGGACTGGGGTGGTGATGGGGAGGGAACCAACCTATGTTCAAGTCTGACTAAGAGGGGAGTGAGTTCTAGATGTCTCTGGTTCCCACTTTGCCCATCTGTAAAATGGGCGTCGATGGACTGAGTGAATCCTGAGGTCTTCCCTATTTTGGGAGGGAGGTGATCCATGCATTCCCTGCCTTGATCCAGGTGAGCCCTGCAGCCCAGCTGAGCTATACACACACACACATATATATACACACATTTGGGGCATATGACACGTACATGTCAGGGGCATACACATTATCTGGGTGGGGAGGAAACAGAAGTGGAAGGAAGAGGGAGGCCATACCCCTTGGAGGGAGTCGCAAGGTGATATTATCAGTGGTTTGGGTCTTATTGTAAGGGGTTTTCATGTCCGTGTCCTGATGAGACTGTACAGCAAGGTGGCAGGGAGGGTGAGGAGAAGAGCAGGGTGTCCTGACAGTGGGCATCGAGCTGGGCTTCACTGGGCGAGGCCCCACTCTTACCCGTGTCCTCTCTCATGCAGCCCGTGGCATGAGGATTCATGTCTCTCAGGAAGTGCCTCCCTACTGTCTGACTTAAAAACAAGTTCTTCCTGCACAACGGGTCACCAAAAGGGGTGGAGGGTGGGGAAGAGGTTACAAACCAACCTCTTTGGAGGGAGGACTTGTAGCTCCCTGTGCTGGTGCCCAGCGTCCTGCTGGAGTATCTGATACCAGCATCACCCCCAGACCCTGTATTTGTAAACTGAGTGCCTGTCCTGAAGGATTCCTGGGATGATCTTCAAGGGGCAGAGGGTTTAAGCTGACTGCTTAGCCTGAGTCCCTGCTGCCCCTCCTTTGCTGGCCAGCACCCCAGTGATCCTCTATAGAGACAGCCTTAAAGGCTTCATGTCCCAAAGGAAACTTCTCTAGAAGGAACCTTTGAGGGGACCAGTCTTAACCCCAGGCTGAAAGTCTTTGTTTGGATTCTGCTAATAACAAGACTTCACTCTCTCCAGACACCTCTGGGGAATGTCCTGGCACCACCTTGAGCTCTGCAAAGTTCTTTTCGTGCCCCAAACCCAAATCTGCGTTCCTATGTCTCCCCCGCATACCGGTTCTCATCCTGCCCTCTCATCACCAAAGGCAGTGCTCAGCCTGCCCCGAGGGGAGGAGTCCTAGTAGGTGTGGCAAATTCGGATTTGTGGAGAGGAGAGGTTTTGCACTATTGGGGAAGGAAGGTAAAAATACAGGAAGGGAAAGAGAAATCAGACCGCAGTAGGGGGCAAGGGAAACTGCTGGTCTCAAGACCTCTTCTCTGGTGCGCAGGGCTGTCACTTGTCAGTGGTTAAAGCTGTGGCTGGGCTGGGGTCTGGGTGTAGATGACAAGACTAGCCTGGGAGAGAGGCTGGCTGGGGCTTTGACCACAGCAGCACCCACTAGCCCTTCTTGGGCCATCTCCTCGTGCCAGGCTGGTGTCCTTTACCTGTGATCCTCGCCACGACCTTGGAAGTGGTAGGTGCTGTTGT